AAAAAAAAAAAAAAAGATAGAAAAGAACAGAAAAAATGAAGATTACATACCCCAGCCTCTCCTTGTATGGGCTCAAATAAAAAACCAGCTATATATTCTCCTTTTTCTGCATATATTAAGTGAAAGAAATTGAGCATAAGTGTCTTGTTGACAAGGTATAAAAGCAAGGAATATTAATTGGAATTTCAAAAACCTTCAAAAAGTTTCTTAAGGGCAGCTTCATCTCCAAAGTCAACTTTAAGTTGACCAGGTAACAATGGCCAAAATCCACTAGTGGCATCATTATCACAACTCATAGAAATAGCAGCCATTGTACGACCATGGAAGCAACCACAACATGAGACAATGATACCCTGCACATCAAATCAAACAGAGAAATTGAGGGATTTTACTGCTTAAAGACTTATTATTAATAAAGTTAGTACCTGATCTTTGGGGATTCTTTTTTTTTCATAACCCCATTTTCTTGCAAGCTTTATAGCGGTTTCTACTCCTTCAGCACCAGTGTTCATTGGAAGAACCATGTCATATCCAAACATTTTGGTTAAATACTCTGCAAAGACTGGAAATTTGTCATTGTAGAAGGCTCTAGAACTGAGAGTTAGGTTTTGTGCCTGTTCCATTAATGCTTTCATGATCTTTGGATGACAATGTCCCTGTACCAAAAAACCAGTTATCCCCTTTCATCAACAAATTTTGTCAATAGATAACTAACCGCTTAAACCCCGTGTGTATCTCACCTGATTAACTGCAGAGTAAGCTGCAAGAAAGTCGAGATATTTTTTGCCTTCTGGATCCCAAATAGCCGACCCTTTTCCATGAGAAAATACAACAGGGACAGGATGATAACTGAGAAAGAACCATTCAAAAGCTCAAATTGTGGTTACAGATGTAAGCATGTAGAACCGAATAACATGATGATGATGATGATGATGATGATGATGATGATGATGATGATGAGTTGTACATATAATGCAGTTCATCAACTATTTTCATTGTTCTTATAATTTTGGAAATCCTTCTTTCGGACATACATCACATAGGCAATCACATACACTAAAAACTATTCTCCTAGTGTTCCTAATTCATATCTGCAGTTGAATGACATCAAAATTCTCTAGTTTTTGTGTCTTACTAAACTTAATTTCTGCAAATTTGGGGAAGATAAATCATAGTTATGGAATGAAGGGAGCATAATTCCTATCAGTAAGAATGTAACACAGCAACATAGCAGAATCAAGAAACCCCACGAATCGATTAAAAAAAAACAATCGTAGCCCATGTGCACACAAAACACACGCATGTGTGTATGTGTGGAGAGAGAGAGAGAGAGAGAGAGAGAGAGAGAGAGAGAGAGAGAGAGAGAGGGCATACTTGTGTGCGCTGTAATCGTGTTCTAAATCGATAAGGTGGCGAGAAGAGGCGGCAGGAGAGGCGATGCCTTCGGTAGCAGTCCCAAAGCACCGAACGGTTCCCCTGCTCTTGATTCTGTTGAATACAAGCTGTAGCGATCTGGTGGTCGCCATATGCAACGATTTCTTGATATTACAGAATCAAGTAGTGATTTATCGTATTACTTGGATTAAACTTTACTTAGCACTCGAAACCGATGATAAATCTCACCCAAATACATCAATAATTTTCAGAATTGGATGATAAAACTCGCACCTCAGTTTATATCTGATCGTTGATGAAAATGATCACACTTTCCCAGATGACGATGATAGAGTGTCTGTATGAAACACTATCCGACCCTCGCAAGAAGTGCAAAAAATTGTAACCACTTTCTCGAGTAGTGATTTATCGTTTTTGTCCGCAAAGCATTTTAATTTTCATGTGATCAACCATTAAAATCGTGACCTTTAAACGTTCCTTGATATTTTTAATTTCGACAACCAACTACTCCAAATTTAAAAGGTCTAAATGGTTTTACTTTTACATCAGGGAAAATCACAAAAATGCAAGGTTGAAATCATTTAAAAACTGATCATTTTATATATATATATATATATATATATATATATATATATATATATATATATATATATATATATTGTCAAATAAAGGCCAAGTTTGCAATAGACCTCGAATCCGACAATGTTTTTCTATCGTCCCATCATAAAAGAAAAAAAAAATCAGATGTTACGAATTACACTAAAGACTGCAAAAATATATGATTTTTCTTACATCTCCTGTTTTTTGTGGTCGAAAAACAATTTTGCATTTATAATGGGACATAATGCAAAATTTATGATAACTAACAAAAAAGGTGATACCCCAGTGTTTTGGTCATTTTTGTGATTTGATTTTTCCTTATTATTATTTTAAAAGTGAATCTACAATAGTCCCTAAATCGTTAAACTAACACATTTCTTTTGATAAAAACAAGTGTCTGGCTAGCTCGGGTTCAAAAATGGATATAGGCTCCTATAAGATTTGAGTTGGTGCATCTTTGTCTTGTTACACTGATTTTTCTTTTAACGTTTCATCCAAATATAAACCATAGTCCCAAATTTCAGTTTATAATCCCAAATTTCAGATTAAATTAAAAGAATTTTATTCATAAGTGATTATGACGTTGGATCAAACATGCATGAATTGGTTTTCCTTCCATCATTTTAGTTCATCCAAAACAATTTCATCACATACAGAGAGTCCATCAGTAGTAATATCTAGAGCGTTTCTCTAACAACTCTAATGATGTGGTATGGTATTTGTAAGCTTGCCATGAATGAATAATTCTTTTTATTTATGTTATTTTATAAGGTTGTTAAGATGTACATCCTTTTCTTTTTGTAATATTTTTTTTGGGTAGTGCGATGACGACAGTAGTTAGGCGGTGGGATTGGTTGTTGGAATATCATGACGGCAATCAATTACTCTGAAAATGTAAAACTGATTTTATATGATGACACAATAAAAACATAAAAGAGTAAGTTGCAAATTCGGTCTACATAGTTTTCTGATTTTTTTTTTGGTCCCTATATTTTTAAAATTGCAAATTTCATTTTTTCCACCTTGTTTCCATGTTGTCTTGGTCCATGTCAGACTAACTTCCACCGTTGATCGCCAAGTTTGCAAACAAAGGTTTGTGCTGAGGACACGGTTACGCTCACTTGTAATTGTTTTTAGTATAATTTGAAAAAAGATATTAAATAAAGGTAAGTTAGTCATTTCAATTTGGGGAGGTACAAAATTCATAACAAAACCTACTATCTATATGTAACCTTTAAGCCAATCCACCCTCAAAATTGATCACATACTGCATTAGAAAAATGTGTGACATGCATATAATCATGTTTTTTATTTGTTTGATATTACTACTTCCAAAGCAAAGCAAAGCAATGAATGAAAACTTTCATTACATGAACTACAAAATGCTTGGTCACTATTTGCACTAGAAACGTGAAGTACAGAAAGAAACACATAAAAAAGGAATAAAATGAAAAATGAATAAAACAGCAGCAACCAGTTGTATCTACTTACCAGTTACCAGGTCAGTCCAGGGTTCTTGTGTTGTTGATTGCTGACATGTGAAACACTGATTCCACCACACTATTGCTTGTAACACTTGAAACAGACAGACACTACTAAGTCCAAACGATAATAATATACCCAAAACAAAAGAGTTTCCCAACCCCAACAAAAAAAAACGAAGAATTGAATATTATTGCCTAAAAACTTGCAGCGTCTTTGAAGGATTGTGAAATCACCGAATATAAATAATGAGAACTCATGGTCATAAATTGGTCATCTCAGGGTTCCACTTGGATTGAAGAAAAAGGCTGAGGCAAACTGACTGAGGATGCTGTATTTCAAAATTGAATGATCTTGTCCCAAGCAAAACCATAATACAAAAAGAATACGAGATATAATTTTTGTGGCTTGACAAACAAGAGCAAGTTTTTCACACTGCAGTCAGTGTGCAGCAATTCATTATATATTTTATTATTATTATGTTCTCTCAAAGACACAAACACAATGGAGCGCAAGAATACACATCCATCAATGTTATCATTATATGAAAACAAGAGATTTAACTTTTACTGGTGAGATTTTTATACGAAATTACCGGTAGCGGATGTATATATAATTACATAACTTCTCATCATTTACTAAGGCCTCGTTTGTTTTTCTACAAAAGTACTTTTTGAGCACTTTTCCCTTCTGACGGGTAGACGTTTCTCAAGTGCACGTTTTCTTCCGCAAACATGGAAAAAGACAAAAGACATTTAACCACTTCCAAAACAAACAACACCTAATACCTTACCTTATTATATGCTCTAAATAAAAGAACCCTCAACATCTTACACATATATATATACATACTTGTGTATCATCATGACTCATGACTCATGACTCCATATCTATACGGCTGTCTATATCCATCCTAAATTTACAGAACCGTGGGTGTTTGTGTGTGTGTATAAATATATACACACACAGTTGAGATCAAATTAGAACTTAAAAATACTAGGAACTTGAGAACTTTTTTTCTACACAATATTTTCAAAAGAAAAATACATCATTCCACTCCTACAGCTTCGTAGCAAAAAAATCCACCATAAAACGAACTTTTTTTTGCATATATATGCATATAAACATATGTGCATATGCATATACACGTCTGCATATAAGATCATATGCACCAAAAAAAACAACACCAAACATACATATAAGGCTGCATCTAAGAGATTCGTTTAAAAAAAAAAATCAAACTTTTTTTAATATGCATATGAACATAAGACATACATATCCACATATATCGATATATGCATATGCAAAAAAAAACAAAAACATTTTTTTACAAACTTTCTTCAGCAATTATCTTAATCGTTGATATAGGAGTGGAATGATGTGTTTTTTTAAATGTTGTGTACAAAAAAAGTTGTCATTTTAAGTGGGGTCCCTAGTATTTTTAAGTTCTCATTTGACCTCAACTATATATATATATATATATATATATATATATATATATATATATATATATATATATATATTGGGCAGGCTATATCAATCCTAAATTTACCAGAGTTGTGTGTGTAGTGTAGTGTGTTTTTTATATATTGACAGGTGCAAAAGTGGTGAAGTAGGATCACAATGTGTAGTTTACATGGGGTGAGATTGAGATATCTCATTTTAGAGAGCAAACATTGGAGAAGAGTGAAGCAGCATCTGATCTGCCAGTGCCTAGTAAGGAGTTGATCCTCTTCCTCACAGACTAGACAGGAATAGTAGACAAAATCTGTAAAGAGAATTTTTACCAGCCAGACACTACAAATCTTTCACCTCTTTAAAGTTTAAAGAGAGAGGCCTAAAGATTTAGATTGAAATCTTTAAATAAAAAAGTGAATCAGAATGGCAAGAACATGATTCGGAAGAGAATAAGTCATGAGCTAAGCTAAGCAAGAACAAAAACGTTCAGGATTTATAACCATCACAGACAGGGTGCAATTTCTTAAATAGAAGCACATGGATTAATTCAAGTTGGAAAAACAACATGAAGAATATGTTGAAAGCTTTGTGTTTCTAGTTTAAAAGAGTTTTTTTTTTTTTTTTTTTTTGAGTTATAGAGGATGAACTTTCTAGGTAGATTAGAAACTACCAAAATATATCCAGAGTTGGCTTTGTTTTTCTCCTGTTTTTACCACAGCTGCAGAAAACGACTTTCCATGAATCAAGAAGATCAAGCAAAGCAGATAATCATTTCAGAATGCATCATTTCAAGAACGGATTACACCCAAGATTCAAAGAGCAAGAGGGATACGATGAAATATTCAGAAAAATCAATTTATCACGATTAAAATTACAACCGCACGCACGATCATAAAGACAGAAAGTCAAAGAGTTATTAAAAAAGAGTATGGAATGAGAGAAAGATCCTACTAAAGTCTTATGAAGACTCCCACTGGATAGAACACTACAGAAGAGCCTAAGATGAATCAATCTTAGCATGCATGCAGCCACTCCCAGATGATCTTTGGAAGAAAGTAAAGAGATCCAGCAGAAAGAACCGAATAGAAGGAGATACGTTTTCATGTCTATAAATAAAACTAAATGCGCAGTGCACTAAGGAAAAGGTCCCATGAATTTAAGCCAAATTCACCTTCATTGTCAGACAGAAATCAGGTAGCCATTATGAAAGCCTGAATCATGTTTTCAGCTGAACGTTTTTGTTCAGGTGTTCCAGATATTATGGCAACACGATCACCTCGCGATGATTTGGAATCAGATATCTCTACAACAGCTCCAGATATCTGTCAAACAACAAAATCCCAAATCAGAAAACCAATCGATTTTTTGGACCAAAAAAATAGAAAATAAATCACCTTTCGAATATTGTCTACATTGGCTCCACCTTTACCCATCACCTTACCCACCGCATGAGCAGGGATAAGCATCTCAGAACCATCAGGAGGAGGCAATCTGCTTCACATCACATACATATATCAAAATAACAGGGGCAAAAAGGTCAAAAGTACAAAAAATATTGTGAGAAAGAAAGAAAAGTACGCACCCCCCATAGAACTTTGATGGATATGAAGAGGATAAAGATCCATAGCCATTGTCACTCATCGGTAGTGAACCATATCCATAGCCTGAAGGAAGCATACCCATACCCATACCCATACTGCTCCCAGGTTCACCTCTATGACTATGTTCATAACCCAATGAAGGGGGGACACTTGGCAACACTGGAGGCACAGGAAGTCCACTGCCACCAGCATACATGGAATCATTCCCTGAAGATTGATTATGACCACCACTATCCCTATCTTTCAGAACATCATCTCTAAGCCTAAGAACTATTTGAACAAGTGCATCCCTCACACTCCCAACTTCTCCAATCACCTAAAAGTTTCAACAAACACTCAGATTTTAATCTGAATAGAGTCATAGACAAGTGTTTAAAGATAGATAGAATCAAGAGTACCTCAACAAGTTCATCATTAACATCTGCACATTTGGGTTTATCACCTTTTGATATACGAACATCTGCTCTTGTTCTCTTCCGAATTTCATTTATGATAGAACCACTTTTACCAATGATGCACCCGATGACTTTAGAAGGGACAAGGAGCCTAAAAGAAACGTTTTCTTCTTCTTCCTCACTTATCTTTCCTTGAAGCAATAGAACTGCTTCAACAGCCATGGATTTTATATCATCCAATGACTGCACAAGTTCCGTTTAACAACTCAGAAAGAAAGAAAGAAAGAAAAAATTGATGAACCTTTGAGAGTGTAGAGAACAATTACCTCTGTTGCTGCAACTGTAATAATGCATTCATCGCGTCTGGTATCATCAACATCAACACGAGCACCACTAGCTTCTCTGACACTTCTAATGGCAGCACCACCCCTTCCAATAACACGACCAATCTTGTTAAATGGGCACAGCACCCTTACGAGTAACTCCCCTGATGCAGATGCACCACCATACCCCGAAACTACAGGGAGGGCAGAAGAGTAAATTGGCCATGTGTTCCCTGAATCCGCATACCCTTGAAGTTCTGGTACATGTGAACCACCTAGAACAGATGGAAGAGGTCTGGAAGGCACATATGGATCTACACCTGGGTATAGACCAGAAGCAGGATAGATGGGTACATCAGAAGGTATTATGATGTTTGGAGGAGCTTCAGGAACAGATGTTTCAAGAGGAATCTCTTCCTTTGGAGTAAACTTGTACATAATTGAGGAGACTGCAAACAGTGCTTTCTTCACAGCCTCTGGTTCACCAGTTATCTATATTCAAGAAAGTAATGAAAATAGAATATCAGCAATGTGTGAAACTTCAGATGAAGAGAGAATTTCAGGGAATAAAGGCTAACCACAACAAAGTTGTCAAAGTCCATGGCACACGAATGATTAGGATCACTAATATCTTTTGGAGTAACTTTAATGTTTGCCCTTGTCCTGCTTCTTAATTTCTTTATAGTTGCCCCAGCCTTTCCAATAATATTTGCAGACTGGCTAGCTGGAACTAGAAGTTGGCATTCTTCCTTATCTTTCCACTTTTTATCAGAATCGCCAGCTGTTTCTGCTACATTTGCAATTGCATTATGCACCTTAATAAGTGCATCCTGGGCAGGGCATAAAGGGTCACGATCACCAAGTTCTTCATCAGGCTCAATTTCCTCTTTCTCCTTAATATAACAATATATTGTTATGACTCTGTTTTTGGTGCCAGGAAATGGATCTACTACCTTAACCTTTGCTCTTGTATCTTGTCTTATTGAATTTATGACCTTCCCACTCTTTCCAATCACACTGCCAATGAATCTGCCTGGACATAGTATTCTGTAAGCAACCAATTCATCATTACCCCTGTTGTTGTTATTACTTCTATCATCTCTTTCGTTTCCTCTTCTTCTCTGGTTCTTATGATCGCCATTGCCACCGTCTTTCTCCCTCCCCCTATCCCTGTCCCTTTCTCTCTCCCTCTTGTTGCGCTGCCGCTTTCCACTTTCACCCATACTTCACAATACGACTCCTCCTGCACACATCAACGAACGCCAATAAATAAAGAATTAAGCAATAGAAACTTTAATTGTCCGTATTTAGCGGAGATCATTCAATCAATTAAATTGGAACTGCCGATAAGTTGTAGCAACTCAAAATCACAGGGGAATTAAGAGATTGTGGTAAATACAATCAATCAAAATTATAAATATGAAGTTCAAATTTTCCCAAAAAAGAACTATTTAGGGGCGATGAAGAGAAGGGATTGAATGAAACATGACAAAAATATCAAAAAACCATAATATGCAACGAATTAATAGCACGAGAACCACAATTACTGTATAGATGCATTAATTACATAATAGGTAAGAACAAAAACGAAGGGAATCGGACCTGATTGAGATGAACGGCAAGAAGGACCCAAAAAAAACCCTAGTGTACGTTACGAAGATGTTCGTATCGAAGCTAATAAAGATGAGCCTTTATAAAACACATACCACATACTACAAATATTTCCCCCATAGACTTTTTATACTAACAAGTTCGGTCCATTATTTAGAGGATCCGTTACAAAAAATATTATTTTGATTTTAAATCCTTTAACTTACACAACTTCATAAATTGATTTTCATACGTGAAGGGTAAACCCGTAAAAAAGTACGGATCCGTTTGTGGTTCAACAAATTTATCGTATTTTAGTTCATGCTATTTCATATGTTTGCAAAATTAGATGCTAATTAGAAGCTAGTAGGTGGTAGTAGAGATTTGTAACTTTTATTTGTATGTAAATATTTGATAAAAGTAATTGTAAACTTTTGAAAGTGTAGAATGACATAAAATATAAAATACAAAAACTTTTAAAAGTTATTTGAAGTAGTATTAGGATTAAGAGTTATTTGTTTAATATAAAAACATTAAGTCTGAACTCTCAAACATAAATTTTTATAAAATTGAGGTTTTTTTTTGTCAAAATCAAAAAGTTAAGAGCTCTTAAAAACTTTTAAAAGCTTGTTGCCGAAGATACACATAAAACATAAAAACGAAAAGTTAAAAGCTTATAAAAACTCACACATAAAACATAAAAACGAAAAGTTAAAAGCTTATAAAAACTCTCAAAAACCGTTTAAAAACATTTTTGGATTATAAGTTTTTTGTTTACAACAAAAGTTCATAACCACAAAAAAAAACTTTTTCTTGTATTCGAGTTTTTTTGTTTCTTAAAAGTTCCAAAAACCTTAAGTTTGTTGTCCAACATACTAATAGGTGCTACAAGAACACAATAAAAGAGGGTTTGATATGTTTTAGGATCAAAATGAACAAAAAAATCATACAAGAAAAGATAAAAGTGATTATGATTTTCAACATTGAATATAGTTAAAATGAAAGAGCATTTGAAGAAACATATAGGTTGTGTTTGGCAAAACTTGATTTGTGTAGAGATGTTCGACAAAAATAGTTTATTAGTTTTAAAATGTGTACAATTATATAATAACCAAAAGCTAAAAGCTCCATAAAAATACTTGACTAATTTTTAGATTATGAATTTTTTGCTTAAAATGAAATATAAAACTTCTACTTTCAAATAAAACTTTTTTTTCAAGGTTTTCCTTAAAAGCTTCCAAAAACTCTTAAATGCTCTACATCGAACACTGTCGTAATATAAAGAGTTAGACAAAAGAAAGGTTATAAGTAGGTTGCATTTTAAGGATGTATAAGAAAATTGAATATTGTAAATAAATATAATTTTTTAAAATATATTTGACTTTACATATGATTATTGAATTATTTAATAGCAAAATTATATAAATGGTTTCTACAATTTGCAAAAAGTCAAAACTTTAGTCATGTTTAACATTTCGTTACATGAGACAAACCCTCTACCTACTCCCGGATTCTGTCATCGTCACAACACGCCCTAAAACCATCCCCTCCATTGACTTTCTACCAGACAACATTCCTCAATCCTCTTAACCATTTATTTCCTCCCTCATCTATTTCTCGTTGTTCTATATTGCCCACCAAAACGTATCATTTTCGTTTCAAGATGAAGATGATTTTTTTCATACACCAACCATTATGGATATTATGTTTCGCTTTTTGGGTTGTTGGCAGATTATTGGTTTAAAAGATGATAATGAATCTTTCAAAGATATGAGTTCAATTTTGTTGACATTCAAACAATGTTTTTCATGGAACTAATGGGTTAGTTTTCTTAATATTAGGTTTCAATTTTAAGGATTGTTGGTTTTCAGTTTTCACCATAGTAGAAAATATGCATTTTCGAGTTTTTTTAGGCTTCATCTTCATTTTCTTTTGGGTTTTGATTTCTTAGCAGTTAGATTTTCTCAAATCAATTTGTGCATTTTAATGTTTTGAACTTCTAAGGGATTTTAGGTATTACAAATGATTTTTAGCATCCGATGGAGGGTGTGGTGGGGTGGGGATGGGTTTCTTAGGTAGTGTTTGTTTTTTGTCTGCAGATCTGTGTGGCCTCTTCTGTCTGCGCCGCGCAGACCACGCGCAGACATTAGCCTTCGCAGACTGTTTGTTTTTTTGAAGACTGCAGACCTACAAATGTCTGTGCGCCCTCTTCTTGGCGCAGATGTGGACCAGAGTCTTCTAACATCTTCAGACATCTTCTAGCCTAAAAAAACATATATATCTTTATTTTTTTAAGTTTTTTTAATTTATATTTTTTCCAACTTTATTAATGATAAACAATTTGAAAAAAAAATTACAAAACTTAAAAAAAACGTTTGACGATACAAACATGATATTTTTGACAAATTTATAAATAAAGATTTATTACAATAATAGTTGTTGAAGTTGTTTATATAAATATGAAAAAAAAAATCATAATATATTATTATATTTTTTTGCCAAATTTTGTAAAAAACATTATTTAATACAATATCGTCAATTTCTCGAGAAAAAATATTTATGGTACGTTTTTAATGGATTTAATTGAAAAAATCGAAGTTTATTTCCATCCATTTATGTATCAAATTCTTTGATCATTAATTATAAAGTTTAGTTATAACTTTATAACCAAAGTTGTTGGTTTTTATCAAATATATACGTTAATTCATACCATTTTTATTTTTATTTTTATTTTTTATACAATTATACATAAAAGTTGATCTAGATTCGTTAATTATTTATAACAAAATCATAAAAATATTAAAAAAATTACTTTGAAGTTTAAAAAAATCAGTTTATTTAAATTTCAGTTTATTTAGTAGCCCGCAGATGTTAAAAAAACAAACAGTCTTCTTTTTTCAGACTGCAGACGTTTGATCCACCTCTTCTACTGCAGAGGTCTACAGATGTGGTCCGCAGACTGCAGATATTTTGCCTCAGAAAAAACAAACAGCACCTTAGGATCTTTCTAGTTAAATATTGAAAACAAATAATTAAAAGTTAGTAGAAATCAATCAAGATGTAAAATAGTAATTTTAGATTAAATATAAAATGAAAAGGAACCACAAGGACTATTGACAAACTTTTTTGTTGCAGCTCATCATTCCCCAGTTTTTTTTTTTAAACAAAAGAATGTTAGAGTCCAATTCTTGTTGAAAAAATGCATATTAAAATATATTCGCAAGATACTCAAAGATAATAACAACTAAAGAACAACGTTGTATGTTGAGTTGATATTTTAGATTGTTTTCAAAATCAAAAGCTAAAACAACTTCTAGATTCCAATCTATATTTGAAATATAATTTTCAACTTTCGTGTTTCCGCATTAGATACAGTTTAAGTCTCAAAAGTGATTTGATCCATATTAATCTCATTAGATTTCTTTGAAACTCATTTTCTTCCTATTAATAAGTAAAATTTAATAGAAATCAATCAAGGTGTAAAATAGTAATTTTAGATTAAATATAAAATAAAAGGGAACCACAAGGACTATTGACGAACTTTTGATAATAACAACTAAAGAACAACGTTATATGTTGAGTTGACATTTTAGATTGTTTTCAAAATCAAAAACTAAAACACCTTCTAGATTCCAATCTATATTTGAAATATAATTTTCAACTTTTATGTTTCCGCATTAGAAGCAGTTTAAATCTCAAAAGTGATTTGATCCATATTAATCTCATTAGATTCCTTTGAAATTCATTTTCTTCCTATTAATAGTCATATCAATAATAACACAGTTAATAAATTCTTTAAGAATTTCATTATTATTCAAATTCAATTTCAAATTCGCAGGCGCAAAACCTACGGTTACCTACCGAACATAAAACATTCTATCTCCAAAACCTTATGTTCAGTAGCTAAAGGTTATGTGACTTTTAATTTGAAATTTAATAATAATACAATGCTTAGAGAATTTGTTAACTTTGCTATTATTAACATGACTATTAGTGAAATTAAATAAGTCTCAAAGAAATTTAATCTATGAATCAAATCACTTTTAAGATTAAAAATGTTTCTAACCGGTACAAAATGAAAGTCGAAATTAGATTTAAAACATAGATTGGGTAAAACCGGAAGATTATCGGTAAACCTATTGAGATGTCAAACTATTATTTGCTATTATTAACATGACTATTATGTTTGGAACGTATTTTTTTGTTTGGTTCTAAAAACAATCTAAGATGTCAAACTAACATATACTATTGTTTTTCACATACTAGTATCTCTAAACATCCTACAAATACATTTTGATATGTATTTTTCCAACAAGAACTGGACACAGTAGTCTTTTCTTTTTGATTAAAAAAATGTTTCTTTCGGATATAATGTTGAAAACCATCAAGACAAGGTAAACAACAAAAAAAGAAAACAAGAGAATCATGAGCCAATACAAAAAAAGTTGGTACAAACGAAAAATGTCAAATTTGAAGATTTTTTTTTGGTAAAACCGGAAGATTATCGGTAAACCTATTGAGCGGAAAAAGAATGCGTTTTTTGTTTACCTTACTTTCTTCATTTTTCTTTATATAAATAACTCCACCAAAATGCAATTATCTCGACAAATAAATGTCTGTTATGCTTAATATCTTTAGTTTGATCTGTCTTAATTCTGCCCTCCCCTTTATCTTATTTGAGTAGTCTTTTCTTCGCAAAATTGACCGAAGCTCGCGTGATTTGAAATAGAGTAATAGTACTATCTAAAAAACATGAAGCAACTCCATCTAATAACTTTTAATTAAGATCTAAAATATACTAGGTTACACAAAAAGTGGTTTTTGTATCAATCTAAAGTCAGAAAACGTTTTATAAAGGAAGCAAATCGGAAAAAAAAATGGGAAAATGTAAAGAGTTTTTTTTAAATAAAACTAAAGCTTATGTTTAAACTTTAAATAGGAAAAAAATCAGAAAATAGAAGGTCTTTTATACAATTAACCCTTGCTTTCCTCAATAATCCTTTTTTTTAATCCATACAACCATGATGATGATAATAACCATATTATATATAAATACATTGTTAGGTTTATTCATAAAAAATAAAAATAAAAATCTGACAATTATAAGAGGTTCTATCATGACAACACTATATTTATCCAATAAAGGAAATGCCAAGATTACAAAATTTTGTTGAAACAACTTATTTCTGTTGTAAAAAAAAAACATATACTTCTACACCAACTATCAATTCATGCCGTATACGTATACATTTTCCAGATGTTATTAATTCGCTTTTTATACCACAATAACAGATATTTATATTTGAAATTTGCTAATTAATAACAATATAATTTGCATCATTTGTGGTACGATTGTTCCTAGATTCATGTTTACGAACCTGAGCATGAGTCTCTGCATCATGCTGAAACATGTTGACAAGTTCTTGCAACTCCAGTTTTCTTACTTGAACCTGTTCTTCAGTGATTGGCTGTTTAAGTCCAAAATATATTAACCCAACTGCAATTAAGATGATTCCTATCAAGAACATCATTCCTGAAAATAGACCAAATGCATATGGTGTATTTTCACTTCCAGGGATTCCATCAACATTGATCCCAAATAATCCCGTGATGATTGACAAAACTAGCCCACACCCACCAAACACAGCTAAATTATGTGTCACCCTTGTGCTTCTATCCTGCAAAAAACAAATGTAAAGGGTAAAATGGTCATTTAGTCTCATACAAACGGTCTAGAAAAGAAACAGACCTAAAAGTGCTATATAAACAAACCAACAAAGACTGTTTCTTTTTGGGACTGAATGAAGGGTCTGAATATGAAGGGTAAAATGACCGTTTTACCCTTCTTTCTATAAAAAAAACCTGCAACCAGGCTCGTTTGGTGCTCTGCATGACATCTTGAACTGTAAAAATGCGACCACGAACTGCTTCTTGCTCTTCAAGCATCTCCCTTGTGCTTTTTCTTATGCCCTCAAGCAACATTTTGGTTGTGTTTCCCCTCAAATGTTGAACAAGTTCAAACACAATTTCTTCCCTTGCATGTAATGACCATTTGACTCTAATAACCTTCAAAAGAAACACATCTTATTTTTAACGTTTATTTAAAATAATAAGAGATACAACGGTTATAGCATCAACTCAAGTATTAAAATCATGGTAAACCTCTTGTGATAGCCTTCTGATTTCTTGGTTAAGGATTATAATGAAAAGATCCAAATCTTCATTGTTTCTCTTATTAATGAACTTCAGTTCCACTTCATCAGCTTCACCAAATATAGACTTCCGAAATAATCTGAACATTAAGAAATATATTCTTAATATTTACTAGACAAAATTAAAAGAAACAAGAAAATATAAGCTCACCTGTCATCCCATCGTGCAAGCCGGCTGGCTAAAAGTGCTATCACCTCATGTATTGTCCTTGGTATATTATTACCACCACCAAAAAGAAGTTCCTAGATAAAGGGTAAGTTAGTAATTAGCTAAAAGGAAATAAAATATGAGGACAAAAAACAGAAAGGCAAATAGGTGAAGGGTTAATGTCTTAATTACATTAAGCCAGGTTTTTTGGCTTTTAACCCATTAAGTCAAAAGGGAACAACCATGTATAATCGTCCATATTAAGTGCTTAATCCATTAGGCCCATTAAGTCAAAAAGAAACAGAACCCTTAGTAAATTTATAGATGAAGGACAAGATTGGAAAGAAACCTGAACTTCTATGACACCCAAAACATTTAAGAATGATGTAACTCCTTTTTGATGCAATGCAGTGACTAAAAAGTTTTGTGCTTGCCATGAACGAAGCACAACTGGTACATCATCTTCCTTAATATACGGGTCACCAAAAGATTGACCCAAAAGTTCAAACAACAAACCTCCAGCAACCCTAACTGGGACCTACACAACATGCAATCAATTCATAATCATAAATCAAGATTTTATAAAGAATCACAAGATGCAACTATAATCATACAAAACAGTCAACATATTATATACCTCATATAAAAGGTGTTTCATCCTTTCACTTATAAGCCGACTTTCATCTCTCAAAGCAATACTTATTGCAGGATGCAACCATGAAGCATTAGTAAGCCAGGAATTAATGTGTGGGTGGCTTGCAGCCACGTGGCACCACCATATAGGTCCAGCTGGCCGCTCCCAATAGGGGGCAGCTAAATCTGCAGTTGTGCGATCATCTTCATCATCCGTGAAATCAAACTGCTGTGAGGTCCAGTCATCATTGATTTGCACTGTTTCAACAAGTTCAGATATTCTTGCCCAACCAATTGGGATCCAATGGTGGATATTTTCATTCCAGATTTCTGTAAGAGGTGTGGGTTCTGATGAATAACCATCATCAAGTTCTTGAAGAGATGATCTGGTCATTATTTTATGACTGTTTGGTTTATGAGCTGGTTGGGGTTTTGTGTGTGATTTTGACTTTTCTGATATTCTTTGACCCTTCACATATTCAAAAGCACATAAGAGTCCATCTGTCCAAAGCTCACTACCTGCCATGGTTTCCTTGTTGCAATGATTTGTATGTTGTTCCATTTTTTCATCAGGCATACATTGGTCCTCTTTGATAGTACTACCCATGCTGTGTTTCACATCAAAAATCATATGAAATATTATCAGATCTTAAATAGATGTTAACTATGCATTTCCTTTGGGGTAACATCTAGTCCTTGGAATAACTTCAGGAAATGAAAGTGGTAAAGTTTTGTATGCTTAAGTTTTAATCATATAAAATCAAATTAACAATCTTAGTATTCAATTAAAAGTCCTCGATCCAAATCAAATTTAGTACCTATAAAATCAAATTAACAATACACATCAGCAAGTGTTCTTCAAGCGCATTAAACTTGTGCAATCTTAGTATTCAATTAAAAGTCCTCGATCCAAATCAGGAGCAGCAAAACTAGATGTTGTAAAGTCAGCAAACGGAATATATTATTCACTGGTTCCTACCAGTTAATTGCTGAAAAATCAATAGCTTAAACAGTTAAACCCTTAAGTTAAGAGGAAAATAACTTTCTAACGATTAGCAGAGGTGTACTTAGTAGTGAGAAGTGTGATGCTAACTGACCTTAGACAGGCAGCGAGAGGGAGGTTGTTGAAGGCGGAGGGTGGTCGGAGAATGTGGTTTCGCGAAGTGATTCCCACCGTCGGTGTAGAAGATAAGCGTCCAATGTACGCATGACTTCAAGCACAGCAGCTGTCGAATGGCCAGAAAGCAAAACTCCTCTTGGTTGCACTTTTTAGTTTTTTAATACCGTTTAAAAGCAAAACGATTTTGATTGTCATATCAAATCACTTTTTTCTAAATATATCATTTATTAAAAGTTTCTAATCTCTAAATATTATTAAAAGAGAACCTTTAATTCACCAATGAAGCAATCAGAGCCATTGATTGTGTTTTAATCCTATATTTTTCACCATTAGATCAACTGCTGACATCATTAAAAGAGAACCTTTAATTCACCAATGAAGCAATCAGGGTCATTGATTGTGTTTTAATCCTATATTTTTCACCATTAGATCAACTGCTGACATCATTTTCCTAAATAAAATTCAAACACAATTACATTTAATTATAGAATCTGTAATAATTATAGAATCTTTAAATTCAATAATTATTTTATCAATTGAAACATATCATTCTATTTATATACATGATATCAATTTCTCTAATTAATATTGTTCCTAATTTAACTATCTTATTTATAGCTTTTAATTTCCAAATTCAAACCCGTTTATATTTTATTATTTATTTATTTATTTTTTAAAAAACTAATTAAACAAAAATATCAATAATTAAAGTATTAACCTATAAAATCTAATCTAATCCCATTAAATCAGCAAAATTTAAGAGTCAAATTAAATTCAATATTATTTATAATTTATCTCTCAATATATCCCACATAAAATGAATCAATTTGAGAGTATTGTTGGAATTTTAAAACTGATTAAATAAGAAAGTCAATTAATTTGAAGTTTTGAATTAATATAGCTGATATCTTTTTTTTTCCAAATGAATAGCCAAAAATCTCCAAGATGATATCTTAAGATCCCAATTTTTTTAGAAGATAATGATTTTCTTCTTCAAAAACACCCTATATATACGATTACACTGAAGTGGTTATTCTTACGATTTTGGATTGAGTCCTATGATTTACAGTGTTCTTCTTGAGCAATCTTTTTCTCCAATTCTTTTTTTCAAGCTCTTACTTTAATCTATTCTCCTTATTCTTCTTCAATTTATTGTGTTTACTATGTTCTTATTATTTGTTATTACTGTGTTCTTGTTGAGAGGTCATAAAAAAATAATCAATATACTTTAAACATATTAGTTTCATTCATTTAGTTACAGAAACCAAATTACACCCGTTATATCGATTTTTTAATGTGTTGACCTATGTTTGTCAAGAGAAAGCCATAAAAGTCGTTTTAATGCATGATGACAAAGCTAGTGGAACGGATCAAAAGCAAGATAAAGAAGTTTTTTATTGTTACACTTCAACTTGCATGAACAAAGATGTATCTGTTGTTCCAAGGTTTTCAGTAACTCTTATATATATATATATATATATATATATATATATATATATATATATATATTATAATCTTCGATTAAATTTTCAAATTTTATATTATTGAATTTGTTTATATCAATGGTTTTAGTTTCAAAATCACCATTATAGTACAAGACTTTACCGGCGTGGTGTCACTTACGTTATTTGATCATAACGCAAAGAAACTTCTGGAAAAAAAACACACACAAGAGTTGCTTCGAAAGTTTAATGAGGTTATCGGTATTAACTTCATTTATATAAAACTAATTTTTATTTTTTGTCTGTCTATTTTTATAACCGTTAATTTTTCCATTTTTAGTAGGGTAATATAAAGATTTATCCGTCTGCTTTGAAATTACTTTTGGATAAAAAGTTTCCGTTTAAAATTCAAATTTCTCATTATAATTTGAAGATCAATGTTGATGGTTATGCAATCTCAAACTTCAATGTTGATAATAAAATCACTGTTGAATTGAAAAAAAAATTAACATCGAACATGTAACATTCTTTTACGAAACTTACTACAAACACTACACTTATTAGATTCATTTTTTATATTTTAGTTGATCAACTAACATATGTCTATGTACTACAAATATAGGCGCCGTAATCCGATTCGTTTAACGTTTTATCGGCGAAATTCGGATGTCAAGACACATTAAATTTAAAGGTTTTAAATATAATATAACTAAATCTAATATTTTAAATACTTTAAAATATTATTAACTTTTAGATTGACATATGAATTTATTTTCTATATTTAGGATGCAGTTTCGTAACCTGGTGATAACGTCACACTGGCTTCGAATCTTGATAAAAGTATTGTAACAAGTCCACTAACTAAGTGGACATCCTTTAAAAAAGTGTCTAGACATGAAGAATTAAAACACAATTTGGAAGATGTTTACGATGTTGATAATATGGAAACAATGTCCTCAACCAAATAATCATTAACATCAATGACATATCGTACTTCTGGAGAAGGCAAACCAAAACTGATATCCAAAGACAAATAATATATGATTTTCATGATTTTATATGAGTAGTTGGGTGATTTGAGTACGGTTGATTTCATATTATGTTTACATACTATTTGGTTTTTGGGTTTGTTTTTTGATTATTTTGTTTCATACTATTCGTTTTATGGGTTAGAATTTTGATTTAAATACATTTTGGGTTTTATGAAATGTTGAATTATTCATCTATTTGCCTTTTGGGTTTAAACTTATATGAATTTAGAATTTTAATCATTTTTACTCTATTATTCCGTTTGAATGTGAATTTGTCAGTATTGTTACAGTGTTATTCATTACAACTTCAATATAAATATTAGCAAACTACAACTTTTTATGAAATTATAAACTTTTATAAATCTTTTAACCGTTCTAAAACAATTATTTACAATTCATTGTGAATTTATTGAAAAATTTATTAGTAAACATTTACCATTGAAATATTATTATTTTTTAGATATTAATGATATCCACAATTTTACAAATTTAAATAATAAAACCCATTACAATGACGCTAGAGAGAGGCAAAGACTAAGACTTTTACATTTTTTTTTGGAAAGGGAACTTCCCTAACTAGGGTTTCCGGGCCAGCTTTCACGCACCGACTAATCCCCCACTGCGAACATGATGCTATGCCTCATGACACAGAGTTACTGCAGGCGAACCTCCATAGCCAGAGAGGCTGAGTAGTGCTAGGATTTGAACATGGGTCAATAGGTTATCCACCATATCTTCCACATGTCTTACTAAGTCACCGCAACCCAAGTGTAAAACATTTACATATACAAAATAGAAGATTGAATTCTATGTCTAAAAGAGAAACTTTATTTCATCATCTAAAGCAATAAATATTTTTTATTGAGTTTCACTTATACATTTTCCACCCTTAGATCAAATTGTTTACGTCATCTTGACCAATGTTTGGTCAAACACGTTGTCTATCAATGTTTCCGCTCAAACCTTCACCAACTTCTGTTATCCCTAAATTAAAATTAAAATCCTCCCCAAATTTAAAGCCATAACTTATGCACTAACCATCCTATATGTTTGCAAATCAACGTGATATATCTTTTTAATTATTCTATTTCTTTCTCAGTGTACATCGATGGTACCAAAATTCATCAAGGGCAAAACAGTCACCTTGTATTTAATTCTTATTAATATAGTAAATACTTCCAATTTTGAATATAATAATCGGTCTCATACATGTTAAATTACAATTGCTCGATTTCCAACTATCTAACTCAATAACTTTATGTAATTATTCTTAAACTTACCTTTTTCTATAACGTTATTGATTAGATTTACTATAATTAAGTTTAAATTGCAAAGATTTTTACTTGAAAGTGATGAGCATTAGTTGATGTTTTTATTGAAGCTTGAGGATGATGCAAAACTCAAAATCCCTTAGTGGTAATATCCTACATACTTAATAATTGATTATTTTGGACAAAAATACTTTCCTTTAACTTTGATAACAAATTTTTTGAATTAAGCATATTTTTATGATTATAAATTTGTTTTCTCTACTCACTTGTACTTATCATCCTGAAGATGAGAAAAGATTAACCATGTCTATATTGAAAAGTGCCAAAAAGATCTTATTGGTCATACATTTCTGACATGATCTTCAAATGTTTTTTGTTTTTTATTCGTTTTTGTGTATTTGACTTGTTTCTTCAAGAAACTCAGTTTTCTATTAATTTTGATAACAAATTTGTTGAATTAAGTATACTTTTATGATTATAAATTTGTCCATTTTCTATTGTTAAATCAAGTGTAAATGAATTTGAACAATCGTTAAATTTTTATATTCTATAATGTAATTTATGCACTAATTAATCAAATAATAGTACATATCCAAGTGGTCGGGTATCTCCAAGACAATAAGCAAACATGTAAATTATATGCAATTTCACAATATTGTAATTTTTTTACTGGATTTAAATGAATAATTACTTCTTTCACTTGATTTAGATTCTTGATTACTCGTATAAGGTTGTAATAAAATAAAATTCTGATAAATTGAAAAAATTGTTCAGCAAAACCTTAAATTTTTTGAAATTTGTTGGAAATTTGGTTATATGCCAAGTTAGGCTTCTTTTTGTGTTGTCATGTTTGTTAATTTGGCTATTTAGGGTTCATTTGAAGTTCCATTTCTCTACAAGAATTTTAATGTTCACATCCAAGTGGAAAAAATCAAAACTGGTAAGCATTCTAAATGATTTTTTCACTTACATTAATCAAAACAGTTATTTTAAGTGGTGCGTTCTCATGGATGCCACACCGGTTGTCACTATATAGACCTTCTAGCGGTCTATAGAAGAATCCTAGCGGTCTATAGAAGAATCCTAGCGGCCTTATAAAGAATTTTGCTACGTTTTCAATGAAGTATCACTCTGTTAACATTCTTCTCTATAGTTCTTTCTTTTATTTTCGATATAGATGCGTGTCACAACAATAAGGCAGAAAGAGGTGTGAGTGACCATTAAAGCTGAAAAGGTGATATATAATTTAAGAATAATATATAAATTGTAAATTGTAGATTTATGATATTTATTTCAACGAAAAATATGTTGTTTGATTGTTAGGTTACATATTTGTTTTTTTTATAATTTGATTTTGACAAGTTTGATCTAAATTTGATAATTGAAGCAGGTAGGAAAGATATGTG